GCACCACATATAAATAAATAAAGTAAAGGTATTGTGTCCAACTAAAAAGTGAATATTTTAAAAAAAAAGAAATTTGAAGTACCTGTTAGTAGCAAAAAAGTATGACGAACAAATGAAAAAGCAACAAAATGAACAAAATGGAGATAAAGCAAATTAATTAATTTTTTTGTGTTGAATTGCATTGTTAAAATCTTATAAGAATAATCTATTCCTTGGAGGGGAAAATAAATTTGGGTCCTTATTTAGGAAAATCTCTATATTTTGTGGTTTTGAGAGGAGGGTCTCATTGTGTTGCCTAGGATGACCGTGAACTCCTGAGCACAGATGGTCCTTCTGCCTCAGCTCCTGAGTAGTTGGGCCTACAGGCACCTACCTCTATGCCTGGCTAAAGACTTATATTTTGACCATGAATGTTCTTTTTCTCTGACAGTTATTAAAGGCATTTCTGGGTACCTTTTCTCCCCACTTTGGTGCTGGGATTTGCATCCAGGGCCTGGCACATACTGAACATGCAGTCTACCACTGAGCTACCTTCTGTGTACCTTGTGAGAATGGAGAGTTACTGTCAGCTTGTACTACATTTCAGTATTTGTTGGCTAACAGCAGCTTTGTTTTCTTCCTGAACATTTCTTAGCCATGTCCCTAAATACCTTTTGCTGCCTCCTTTGTCTATCATGTTGAAATGTCCTTTTTAGCTTATATTTCAGCAGTGCTTTTCTGCTCTGCCATAAAATGTCAAAAAATTTGAACCTGTGCCATCGTGTTAGAAAGGTAGAATTGGAATTCTTCATAGACTGTCAAGAATCATTATATAAGCCTTTGGGCCAAAGAGATGACTGGTGATGGTGAGGGTGTTAGACTGTGTGACAAGGACTCTCCAGGGGTAGTATGTGGTTCTGTAGGGATGTTCACTTTTGACTTTCGTTGATGAGGCTGTTTTACAGTTGTTGTGGGGGAGGTTAACTTGAAGAAAATTGATAGTGGCAGATGACTCTTATCTAACAGAGATTTAAGGAAATTTTGTCAAGTAAATAATTCCTGCTTGATTTCTGCTCCTTAGAAAAGATAATCCTAAACATTACCTTTTATTGCAGGATTTCTCAGCCTTGGCACTATCACTATTAACTTTTGGGCTGGATAGTTCTTTGTCATGGGGGCTTATTCTATGCATTGTAGGGTGTTTAGTTGCACCCCTGATCTCTACCCACTAGATGCCAGTAGCATCTTAGTTAAAACTGCACCTGTATCTGTTCTTGCTTGTGCTTTTTACATATCTAAGTAGCTATAATTATTTTACTAGTATCTATCCATCAGAACCAGAGAGACTTCAATGGTATATTGCTACTTTTTCTTCTTTCATTAACACTTAAGTGCTGATTTCTTCTGCATAGAGACTGAGATATGTCTCCCCTTAGATATTAGAGTTAATGTTGATGGAGGATGGTGTGAGTTCGATGTATGTAGTTCTGGTATTCAGGGACAGTGAGTGTTCCTCCAGCGATCTATTTTGGTCTCACTTTGTTCGGGAATCCTTACTTAGAAGGTATATGTAACTCATGGGGATGGAGAGAAACTGGCGGCAGCTTCAACTCAAGGAAGTTTCGGATGATTTAGAAGATTTTAAGATTAGGAAGTTGTTCTGTTACAACATTTAGACTTTCTGGAATTTACAGGCTTCTTACCATTTAATTCACCACAGCTTCATGACCCTAAAATGAAGACTGATGAGGGAATGTTCACTTTTTCTCTCCATTTTTCTCTTTTGTAGTTTCTTAATTTCAGTCATTGTTGACCTTTGCTTTTATTCTGCTTTTCATGGTAGGGTTCTTCAGTTAGTGGCTAACCCAGAAAATGAAGACAGGGCACAAAATTTTAGGGGACTTAACCAATGGGCTTGACTCACTCCCTGATTTGAAAACTTTCTACCCTATTGCTTTAGTTATGAACAGTTAGTTCTTGCTGGTTATGGTTTAAAAGGGCCTGAATGCCTGCTTTTAAACAGACCTTTCTAATTGGAAAAACTTCCCCATCAAGGCAATTGCAAAGATAAGTCTGCTTCTTAGGAAAAGTTTAGGAGATTCAGTGTAACTGATCTCCAGCTATAATCTTTTTTTTTTTTAATATTTATTTTTTAGTTGTAGTTGGACACAATACCTTTATTTTATTTATTTATTTTTATGTGGTGCTGAGGATTGAACCCAGGATCTCCCATGTGCTAGGCGAGTGCTCTAGCACTGAGCCATAACCCCAGCCCTCCAGCTGTAATCTTTTTGTGTGTGTGTGTGTGTGTGCACTCGCATGCGCGGGGTACTATGGCCTATGCCTATAATCCCAGCAGCTCAGAAGGTGAGGCAGGAGAATCATAAATTCAAAGCCAGCTTCAGCATCCTAGCGAGTCCCTAAGCAACTTAGTGAGACACTGTCTCAAAATAAAAAATAAAAAGGGCTGGGGATGTGGCTCAGTAGTAAAGCACCCTAGTTTAAAAAATCCCTGGTACAAAAAAAAATTGCAAAGTTAGATTTATTTAAATTATAGAATAGAAATATGGAACAGTTCTTTGTTGTTAACCTACTGAACTAGAACACCACTTTCCACCTGTACCACCTGTGGTACTAGGTTCCCATAGCTTGCCACATGCTGGGTGTATTTTTTGTCCTTAGGCTCCCTACTTTAGGTTTCAAAATGCTCACTTACTCTAGAATCTTTGTAAGAATTGCTAAGTAAATTCATTGTATCAGAATGAAATCTGCTCAGTGCCTTAGGATATTTGTAGTGGGCAGTCTTTCCATTTCCATTTTACAGCCCCAAAGCTCAGCCCTTTATGTGTGGCCCTGGTATTTTCTCTGTGCCTTATGTTAATGTATCTAGAATCCAATCACTTTGTACCAACCTACAATCAACACTGTAATCCAAACAGCAGCAGCATCTCTGCCTGGACTTTGGCAATTGCAGTCGTTTCTTGCTGGTATACCTGACTTTCATCCCTGCTGTGTGTTCTCAATTTAGCAACCAGAACAACCTTTTAAAAACCTGAGTCTGATCATGGCAGACCTGTTCAAAACCCTCTCAGGGCTTCCTATCACATTCAGAATAAGACAGTTCACCTGATCTGGTTAAACTGCTTCCCGTTACTAGTTGGAACTCATTTGCTTACTCAGGGTCATAACTCTTTTGTTCATCTTTCTGCCACTTGTCCTTAAGGAAAGTCACATGACTTCTGTGAATAAGAAAGCTCTCCTAGTTCACCAGGTGATTGAGTCTCAGAATTGTTCTTTGTTTTCACCATCTTTATCTGCTATTGTCTTTCCACTTTTTAGGCTCCTTTTATGTTGTGCTAGTAAGTTATTTCATGAGTTTTGTTTCAGCTGGGAAAAGTGAAGTAGAACCAGTGGAAACCTTTACCTACCCTTTTTTTTGGAGAGCACTGAGAGACACAGAACTTTTACTTCTTGCCCTGTTGTTTGTGCCTTTTCCCTCCCTTCCTTCCTTCCTTCCTTCCTTCCTTCCTTTCTTTCTTTTTTTTT